AGTATCGGTGCGGGGGAGTAACGGTGCGCGTATAACGGCAATTTTACAGGGGGTTTATCGATGCGGGGATCTATCGGTGTGGGGTCGTATCGATGTGCATAATGCAAAAATTTACTAAGGGGGAGTATCGGTGCGGGGGAGTATCGGCATGACCCCGCTTGGGTTGTATGGTATCAGTAGAAAGGGGGCAGGATGAGAGGGGAGGGGGGATTCTAATGTGATCCTAAGATCTAATATACCGTTATATCCGTTTATTAGATCTAAGTGTGATCCATCTTGTTCAAGAAGTCTTGATATTTCTATTTTGATTATACTAGAGCTTTATTTTTGTGTTCACGCACAGTATTAAAAAAGCTAGATTATTCCAACGAAGTCTGTGGCTTTATACATGTTATATTTTTTACAAAAAAAACACTCGATTACAAATGATAGACCTGAATATTGAGACTGTTGGCAACGGGGAAGAGCAGTCTGTAAAATGTTTTAAATCCTTAAGTCATTTTGAAAAATGACAACAAAGAAATTGTGTTAGAAAAAGAACTTGTTGCCGCTACTTACAATATTTTTTATGATAATACATGTAACATGGCTATAGCAATAGTACAAGTATGGTAAGATAAAGTAAGAATTTATTCAGCCAATAAAAATATTAAAACATAAATATCGGCATTTGATATCCTTTGAGAGATAAAACTAAAATAAAACACTGGACAATAAAAAATTATGAACTAGGCCTAAAAGTTTAATTAAAATACTGTACATAGAGAGGCCTACTTAAAACCATTTACTGCCCTTAAAAGTCAGCAGTCTGCTATTGCTGGGTGAGAATTTAAAAAGAGAACTTCCTGTATGGGTGGGACCCCCATAAATCGTTTTGTTGTTTTCTCCATTCTGCCTTTCAAGATATCATCCAGTTGGAGGAGATCTCTCCCAATTATTTTACTGGCGGTGTTAATAACATCGAGAAGTTTTTTCCCCATTCCTCCACTGTAACCACTGTAGCCACCAGATGCTCAAACGTTAAAATACTCTCAATATTATAATTATGTATAAAAATAAACTAAAACAGGATCCTTATTAGCAAGTGATCTAACAAAAAAAAAAAAAAAAAAAAAAAGTTTTTTTCCTAAAGTAAGTTTACTTTTCATGTGAATTCCTAGGAGTTTGAACTACAGGTATATATATATATATTTTGTATTTAAACATGAACATACTGGAATATAAAATCAAAAGAGAAGTTATCAGTAATTGAGTCGTATGGTAGGGTACGTGTGTGTGAGTATGCGTGTTTATGTATGTATTTGAATAAAGTTAAAAGTTTGTACAATATTTTGATTATTTCTTAAGTTTAATAAATGAAATAAAAAAAGAATTTGATAAAAAATTTGAGATAAACTTCAAAGTTTAAAACTTAAATCAGAAATCAAATGTTGTTGTATTGGAATAAGGTTATTACTATAGTGCTTCATTTATTGTAAAAAAAAGTCAAGTGCTGGTTTCTTGCATCACATCCCAAATGGCTGTCTACAAAAATTGGTTTATTTTGCTTTTTCAAACTTTTTAAATTAAAAGAGTCCCACTGGGTATTTTGTTAACTGTGAAAACCACTTTTTATTTCCCTGAGATGCGTGAAATGTCAATATTCCGCGAAGCACCTCATTCCTGTGACTCGTAAATGCAGCTTTTTATTCTTTGCCCTTATTGAAACTAAGCCTGGTAATTTGTAATTTTCATGATTTTCAACTAGCATTGTTGGTGAGATATGCATAAAGTTTTGTTTACTGTGATTTGTAAATTAATGGTTTTATTTCCCGTGAACTGTGAACACCCCTCCCCAATGGTACCCTCAATTAAGAAAAGAAAGAGAAACAAAACTCATTTGATTACAAAAATTTAATATTTTATCATAAAATTAAGAGAATGACATTTTGCAGTTTTCAGACTGGCTTCTACAGAGGTAATGATAGTTCTGCACTGACGACCCTGAAAAATAAAAGATAAAAATATTAAAATATAATTCACTGTGTATTCAAAGTGTATTCAGTTAGGTGTAAATAGATGTTGTCAGCAGCTCTTCAACCACCAGCTCCTAGTGACTATCATATAATTACTGCTTTAATGTACAGTTTTACCAGCTGTTTGATATAGTTTTCCTCTAAAAAAACTGAAAGCTTACTTAGTTATGATACCATCAAAACAAAGAGACAAACAAAAAGAACTTCTCTGTAAATGTATAATAAATCCATTCTAAACTAAAAATACTGTTGACTTTTCTTCATTTCTTAATGTCTGAAGTGTTTAGAATTATTTAATTAATAATAACAATAATAATAATAATGATAATTATAATAATAATAATAACCATTTATGTTCGTGCCCTCCGTCTGAAGCAAGAGGTGAACAGATTCAATACCCTCCTCCACCTAGATGGGCCGCTATTCTTTGGAGCTAAAATGTATAATACAATATTACTTACTAAGAGGTAAAAGTATAAAATGTTCAATAAGTCAGTGCAATATCATATTTCATGTATGAAGCTTCAATGAAACACTTTTACTAGTATTTGGAATAAACAATTCTGCCAATATTATTTTAAACTTGCCAAAAGCACAAACTGTGTTGGCACAACATAAGGAGTGTGTGTGTGTGTGTGTGTGCGCGTTTG